GTGCTAGGCAAGTGACTTCAGCTCTGGGGAAATTTCGCAATTCCCTTCTCTCTCTCTGGGGATCAGAAGGTGTTTAGACTGCAACGGTCGTTGGCAGCGTCTTTTGAAATTCGCGCCTGTGTGGGCGTTAGCGATTTCGTAATACAACGCTGTGTTGTATTTGAATGTGCTTCAGCTGACAGCTGTTTGAATTTTGCGCCTAAACGGCACGAGCGGCTGCGGCTCGCAGCGTTACACTTCCTCTGTAGCTTATGCTAACAAGCGGCTACAGGCGCTTCTCACTTTCACTAGCTTGTTTGTTGATCGCTTTCTCTCTGGGTTGCGATCAGCGTTTGCCCTTATTTTGGCTGATCGCTCTCTCTCTGGGCTGCGGATCAGCGTTTTAGTGATTCAGCGTTCGTTCTCATTTCGGGCTGATCGCTCTCTCTGGGTTGCGGTCAGCGTTTGCCCTTATTTTGGCTGACCGCTCTCTCTCTGGGCTGCGGATCAGCGTTTTAGTGATTCAGCGTTGCAGCTTGCCTCTGGTAGCCATCCCATCCTCGTCGCCAGTATTAAGTATGGGAAATAAGAGGCTGAACCAGGGCTTAGTGCAACAAGGTTTATTTACAAGGACTGAACGTGCTTGCTCAGCCTGGAACTGGCTCGCAGCGAACAGCGAAAGGGCTGGACCCAGCAGCCTGCTTTTATAGCAGGCTGCTGGGGAAACCCAGCCAATGAGAAGGGGCAGCTGCCCCTGCAGCGTGAACGGACCTGGGTGGGAACTTCTTCAAGGTCCAGGGACATAACAAGGACCACAAACGATCCAGGAACTGGGTTCAAACTTCTCCAGAAACAACGACATGCCATCAAGAGGACAGTACCAAGTCTCCTCAAAGAAAATAAATGAAATTTATTATTGATATGAACTTTAAAAAAAATGGAGTGGTGCATAAATTTGGGATGGGAGGGAAAGGGAAGGACTTCTCTCAGAGTGGACTTCTCCAGGTAAGGTTATACAGGAGCAAAACGTAATTACCGAACCGGTAGTAACACTGGTTAAATCCCACCCCTGCTTACAATGTGGTCGAAACAGCTCATCTGGTCATGTTTCTGTATCTCTTAAGGGCTGACACAATGACTGGAGGCTGAAGGGCCTGGATTGGGTGCATAGTACCTCTCCTTTATAATATCTTCCCTAAGGTTAGGAGGGCCCCATCCTGTTGGCATTTTGGAAGGCCTTAAAAACTTGGTATGGGCCTGGGTCTAGAGTCCCAAGTGTGTGAAGGACCCCATTTCTTGATTATATGAACAGTTACAGATTGCAATATTAGCTAATTTATGTATGTATTACATGTATGTTTTTCTTTTTATATTGTATTCTTAATTGGTTTATTTTATGATTGTTTGCCACCCAGAGTCACTTGTTTGATATATATACATTGAATAAATAAACAAACTTTGGATTCTATTCCTTCATTTGTTTTCCTAAAGAACCTGTGTTGCTTTTCTATATTTTATTTTTTTTAAATCTGTGTTTGTTTAGTTTTACTATCAGAAAAATAAAACAAAGTTATCCATAAAAAGTAGTGTCAAAGCAAATTTTAAAATTATTTTCACATGGAGCAAAATTAGAAATCTCACATAAAGATGCATAATAGAAGTATTGATGACACAGAGAGCCCCAATCTCAGTGCCAATAGCTACATTATGTGGTATGATACTGCACTGCCATCTAGGGATTAGCTGCAACTGGGCGGAATTCTCTGTTACCTGATTTTAAGCACATTTAGTAAAATAAATAACTGGAGCTTATTTTTATGTGGAATATTCAGGATTTTCCCCTGGAATTTCTCTTTGGTTTGTGGAAAAAATGCATGAAAGGAAAAAATATAAAGCTGTATGATATCAAAGACAATTTGCTTGTCCTTCCTCAGGTGATTTTTGCAAGTCGCAACCTAGATTTTGTGAACTGACATACTGTAGAATATTTGTCAACAACTAGATATAAATTGAATATTGCCCTGCCAGGATGCAGGCTCTGCATGGATCATTTCCTAAAAGCTTTTTATTGGTAATGACTACTTTCTCCCACATTCATTTACTAGCTTGATACTCGTGCTTTGCTATGAAACAATGTAGTCGGGCTTAGTTTTGGGGGAGGAAAATAAGGGAAAAAATTTCTGCCTCTGCCTACCAGCATCAATCGGTATTCATTTGGCTAGCATCCTGTCAGCGTATGAGAGAATTGAGGAAACTGAAACAGTATTTGCTATGTGAGCAAGGAGATAGCAAGGAGCCTGGGTAACTTAGGTCAACTGTTTTGTACTAAAGCTGCCTGGTGCTCTGAAACTGAAACTCCTCTGTGTTTTGCATTTGGAACAGATTTCTTTTCAGGTGGGGAGGTGGAGTAGAACTCCTTAGCATCAGAGCATGTTAATAATAATATATGAAATACTAATGCTCTGATGGTCATTTTGAAAAATCCTTTCTTAGTGAGCACCTAGAAGCCAAGAAGAATAGACGTGCCAAATTTCAAGTTTATAGGCTTTATGGTTCTGAAGATTTAGTGATGATATGTGAGTGGTATTTTGCTTTTATATATATAGATTTTACAATATTTATAAAATATATACATGCTATTTTAAGTACAGTATTTTGGTACTCCTTGAAAAAAATGCAATATAAAAATATCTTTATTTAAGAACTGGTAATTTGAACTCTACAGCTGGACGTATTCAATTTTTTCCAAGGGTTGGGGAGTCATTTTCAGCATCAGAAACTTAAAAAAAACACCATTTGAGTTATTGTACTGAAGTCTACTGAATAATCATAATACTTTAAATGTTATACATAACAGAAGGGTAAGAAATATTTTTAAAAGGTATTACTTTTAAAAAGTTACTTGACTTTCAATACATTTTTATATGTATAAACAAATTTTGTATTTTTATATGTACACAATACATAAACTCTTCAGGCTTATTAAACCCTTCAGACAGTTACTCATGCCCTGCTCACCTCATGACTGGATTATTGAAATGTGCTGTACATGGGATTACCTTTGAAGACCCAGTGGAAAATACAGCTGGTTCAAAATGCAACAGGGTGTGTAGTAATAGCAATAGCACTTAGACTTATATACCACTTCACAATGCTTTACAGCCCTCTAAGTGGTTTACAGAGTCAGCATATTGCTCCCAACAATCTGGATCCTCATCTTACCAACCTCAGAAGGATAGAAGGTTGAGTCAACCTTGAGTCTGGTGAGATTCGAATTGCCAAATTGCAGGCAGCCAGCAGTCAGCAGAAGTAGACTGCAGTACTGAATTCTAATCACTGTGCCACCACGGTAATTGTTACCTTAAGTATGCCTATGTCACCACTGCTATTCGAGTGGCATTGGTTGTCAGTTAGCTTCCAAATGCAACTCAAGGTGCTAATTATTGCTTGTCAGATCCTATACATAGAGCCTCGGTATCTCATAGATGACTATTTTCATTCATCTCTGCCTGCCCAGTATATTCTGGCAGTCAGTACCTTTAGGTCCTTTTCATTATACATTTGTCATCTTGTGGGACCGAGAAAATGTGCCTTTTCTATTGCAGATCCCACCCTCTGGAACAGCATCCCTTTAGGATGGTGTCTTTTCTCCTGGAGTTCTAGAAAGCCCTGAAACTTTGGTCCCAGGCCTGGGTTTGATGTTTATTATTTGTGTAGGGCCGTGTTTTGCTTTACTATTTATAAGATTATTTTAAAAATAATGTATTTTATTTAATATCCCACTTTTATTTTTCCAAATAGCTCAGGGTGGTGAATATACAGCAACCCTATATGAGGTGAAGTTGGGCTTAGAGTGATCAACTGGCCAAAGATCACCCAACTGGCTTCCACAGTTAAAACAGAACTAGAATTTATGATCTTCTGCTTTCTAGGCAAAAAGTCTTGTTGTTTTAGCTTGGTACCTTAACCACTGGACCAAACTGGATCTCTGTATGAGAATATACATCTCATACTGGCTATAACAAATGGAAAAGAGAATCTCATTGATATTTGTCACCAGAAAAAGATTGTCTAAAATATAAAGGTACTTCAAATTCACGCTGAAAATAAGAACAAAGGACTTTTTATCATGCTTGGTGGACATGTAAAAAAGTTTTTAAAAATGCATTTGTTAATTTAGAAGAATTTAAAGATTTATATTCTGAATCTAGATATATTTATTTTGGGTACTGATTGACAAAAAGTTAGGAAAAAAATACATAGAACTTTAAATGTATACAGTATATGATTAACAGCAGCAAGGTTTTACTTGTGCAACGATGGAAAGATTTGACATTACCCATAATGGAAGAGTAGATGGTAAAAATAATGGAACTTGCCAAGATGGCTTTGATTAGGAAAAAAGGCACAGATTAATTTGGCACTACTTATATTTTTGTCTTTTCTTTTTCTTTTTTTCCTCATCTTTTTTAGTTTCTGTTAATCTTGTTTAAAAAATTAATGGTTATAAAAAACGTAGGTCAGCTCCAGGAAGGACTTGTTAAGGCCTTTTCCAAATTGAAACAATATTGGTCAGTTGCTCCATTTTTTTTTTAAATTTCTCTGTTTATATAAGCCTCAACAGTTTCGTTGTATAGCCAGTTTTCAATATGCCTTGCGGATATTCCTTGCAATATCTGGGAAGACAGACCAAGCTTTTTTCTGGCTTTGATGTTTTTTCCTACTTTTGTAAGTTGCCCAGAATCCACTGGAGTTGGGCAGCGAATAAATTCAAGTTAAAAAGAAATAAATTAAAAGGAATATCCGCTTCGATATGGTGCGGGGAAAGACGGCGGAGCGAATAACCGTTTGTTAGGCAACAGCTAACGGCCCTTCGTGACCGTGGGCACGCGCCTTCCGCCCCTCTGATTGGTTGCGCGCGTCGAAGCGCTTTTGTCCCGCAATAATTAGTTCCCTTCGAGGGAATGGTGTGACATCCTCGTGGCGGTCGCGCGCCCCAAAAGGCGCGAGCCGCTGAAGAAATGGCGTCGAACGTTTTGGATCACCTAGAGAAGGAAAGTGAAGCCAAAGAAGAAAAGGGAGCTGCCGGCACGTCTCCTGACTTTTTGGAGAGCCCACCTCGAAAGGCGAAGAGCCACCGTCTCCTTCGTCTCGGCGGGGAGGAAGACCACGGGGAGGAGGAAGCTGGGCCGCTGCCGAGGGAATTCCCGTCCTACCTGGGAGCGCTGACCGGCCGGGAGAAGGTGGCGCTGTATTGCGACGACCTCTTGAAGGGTTGCAAGGTGGGTCGGAAGCGGTGAGAGCGCGGGCGGTGCCGGTGAAACCCCGGCCTCGTGTGACAGTGCGAGCTTTCTGTGCTTCTTCGAAGGGATCCATTGAAGTGTACACATTATGCTTGCCTACTTTTATCTTACTGTATGTAAGGGATTTTTTTTTTTAATGTTCGTTTTCTGAACGTGTGTGTGTGAGAGAGAAAGAGAGAGAAACCATTGGTTGTGGTGAGGCTTAGAGAGACTGTGTGTGCATTAGATAGGAAGGCAAAAACATCTCTGAATTCATTCCAGAAATTAAATGGGAGATAACATCAGTAATTGGCATGTTTGAAATTAACTGCCTAGTCCCAGTAAAGTTTCTTGCATATTTTTATTGCATATTTTGCAATAAAGTTATGGCTTCTGAATATTAAAACATATCCCGTGTGTTATGGTTAGAATATGGATGCTATAGATAAAACTATTTTTTTCCCAGATAAGACATACCAGATATATCAGTATAAGGTAGTTAAAAAGTGTTCTGTATCAGAGAGTCCCTTAAGCCTTTGGGACATGTTTGAGTCTGATTCTCAAAAAGAGATGCAGTCTACTCCTCTGTCATTACTATATTTAATATATGGAATCAGTAATACCAAACACGAGATGGGCTTATTATCCACAGGATTTTCTCAATGTTAAAAAGTTCTGACTTCAGATTCCAGTAAACTCAGTAGCATGAAATGACTTGCTCCTATTGCCGATCCTTATCCTGGTGACATTGCTTCTGCTCTCACTCACTGCTGACTGATTTTCTATACTCAGTAATTGATAAGGAAAATGATTGGTTTCAGTGCATCAGCAGCTGATGGTAGAAGCATTTACCCATCATGTCACTGATTGGGGCATTTCTGAATGCATCACTTCAACTGTCTTCTTAAGCTCTTACACTTATTCTGGGGTAAGAAAACCATAAGAATATAAAGGACAGAATGATGAAAAGAGCACATAAGTGAAGACTTTGCATCCCTTTCTTTTCTTTGTTTATATAAGCTGCCTTTTGCAACTGACTGATGGTGAATTTGTCAATGCGATGTTCTTTTTAATAAATTTATTTTCTGCCCATCTTGCAGTTTTGAGGCAACTGACAATTATTTCTGTTATTTAAAAGGCAGAGGATGCCAATGAAGCTGTGAGTAAGTATCTTGTAGAAAAATTGAAGATGAAGGAAAATTGGCTTGGAATTTGGAAAACCAACCCAGAACTTTTTTTTGTCAATTCTGAAGAGATTCCCATACCTTTTATTGGAGTGCTTGTTGAGGTAATTAAATGTATTTTAATATTATTTTAAAGCCTTCTAATAAAACTATAGCTATGATCAAAAAGATTGTCAATAGTTTACACCATCATTGGAGGCCATCCAAGCCATAGATATTGACTGGATCTGACATAGTGAATTTTGATTATAGCACATTTTAAAAAGTTTTTGTGGCTTAAATAATTATGTGTAGAATGGCTTAAATGTTATTGAATACCAGTACAATGGGTAGAGCTTTTCCAAGCATAAGACATTCCACCTATAAATTAGATATATTCTCTGGGCTTCACGTCTATTCTGCTAGCTGTATTTCCATTTTTTCTTCCCAGAGAGCCAAGTTGTCTCAGATAAGTTGTTGATTGGATATAAAGGGTTTTCTGGGTCCCATATTGCAATATCCAAACCAATTTATTGATACTAACGAGGCTTTTTAAATAGCAAACTGCAGTATGTAAGGATATTTAAAAGTAACAACCTCTTCCTCTTCTTATGCTTCAGTCTTTTAAAAAAGTTGCTCCTTATGCTTCAGATTAGAAAAATCATTCCTCCTACCCTAAAGATTGATACATGCTGCAGTTACATGCTAAGTGTACAATATTTTTGGCAGTATTGTATACATGTGAATGAGATTTGTTTACGAAAGCAGACCTTGGAAAACTTGGAATAGTGAGCTTCTGTTCCACAGACATGAATTGTTTTCACCCAGGATAAGAGGCCCCAATAAATTCTGTATCCGTGCTATTTTCAGTTATGCATGGGAGAGGTGGGCAGGGCAGATTCATATTTCTTTAGCAGTGATATAAAATAATGAAAGAACTACTACCATATATACTTCAAATATATGAGGTTTCTATATTATACAAATCAAAAATTATGAAGTATAAAAGTTTTAATATCACCTATATTTTATAATTGTTTTATTTGTGTTTTACATTCTAGGTTACTTGTAAACTGCCCAGCAATCCTTCAGCTAATTTCAATGTTTCTGTATCTATAGCTGAACCTTTTTCCTCTAATATTGCAAATATTCCAAAACAGTTAGTTGATGAAATATTAGAAGAAATGGACTATTGTGTGCCTCTTTTAGAAGTATATCCTGTTGAAGGACAGGATAGTGTAGTGTTTGATATAGCCAAGGCTTTAGAAATCGTGAGGTATGTTTTTTTCAAACTGAATTATGAATGTTTGCTTTAACATTTTAATATGTTTCTTACTATATTAAGATGATATTAAGTTGATGTTAATCTGTATTTATAATTAATATGTTGATTATAAATCTAAAATATTTCATTAAGATTCAGATATTTTGAACATTTATTTCATAACTCCTAAAGATGGGGAAGAAATCAGTAACCCCCATAGCGCACATAAAGTTGGCCCTTCCATAATTCTAGTATTGTAGCCCATTTGCCTATTTAGAAACTACATTACACTGTGGTTCATGTTTAACTAGTGATTTTACTAGGACATCCATCTCCCTTTCACATGTGCTGCTTCCAGACCTGGTTTCTCTTCCTATACCTACACTTTACATTTTCATACCTAGATGCAGAACTTCACGTTTCCCAATATCGGCTCTGAAATGTAAATCACACCAAGAAATCACTTCCATACTAAGACTGCCTTTTTAAAGATTGGTTGTGGTAATACAATTGTGCAAGTCTGGTTATGTTTACCCATTCCCTGATATAAATTGGTGTGTGTATATTGTCTGTGTATATACCTGCTTCATTGTTGGATTTAACCAATATTTCCTCTTTCATTGCTTTGGTATTAAGGATTTTCTCTCGCTCTATCCATGGCATTCTCTTTACATTAAAATCCATCCTGTTCATTTCATCCTATTGCTTAGATCTTTTTGAATCATTTCTGATCTAAAATATTAATGCCCCTTTCAGCTTTATGTCATCTGTATACTGTATAAGTATCTCTGAAATATCTTGAAGGTATCTTGAAGGTATCTTGAAGGTATTGATAAAATAAATAAAGTTGAATAGGACAGACCCTTTAGCAATCCACTCAGTTTTGCCTTTCAGCTAAAGTGGAACTTTTAATGAGATCTCTTTGGCTTTGGACATTTGGCCAACTATATGTCTATAGTCATCTCATTTAGACTTTATTTTACCATTTTATTAAACAGGTACGAGGTACTCTAAAAGATTCTGCTGAGGTCCAAATAAACTACAGTGTGTTGATGTTATCTCCCAATTTAAAATAATTAAGAATATTTTAAGAATAATTCAAAACAGAACTTTAGTGTATATATTTATATATAGAGATCCACATTTAGTGAAGTAGCTTGTAAGGTAAAAGAAGAAACTGATTATAAAATGATGATTCAGTTAAATTAATAGAGTAATATGCACCATCTACTATTGCATAAATATTGAGGTAACTGAAAGGGGTCGGTGTATAAATACTGTACTAAAAATATTAAAACAAAGAAAATAAAATATTACAACAAAGACTACTGTCTATATTTTGAAATACCTTTTCACTCCCTGCATCCTTTTTATGGAACATTAAAATATAAATATAGTATCACTATTATTTTTACTTAGATTTTTCTATGACTTTCTTTGGAGAGATTGGGATGATGATGAAAATAGTGAGACCTATGCTGCATTAATGGAAGAGAGAATTAAAATGTAAGTAGAACATGCTTAATTCTCACAACAGGTAATAAAGTATTAAGCCAGAATTTTAACAATCATACTTGAAGTAGTGCTAGAAGCTTTCATATTAAAATGTTTCCCTACCAAAATATACATATTCTCTGACATCCACATTAATGATTAACCTTTTTCAGAGTAAAGCAGCCTGTGTGAACAATGTCTTCAGTTTATTTGTATTTGTTTTCTAAACGTATATGTTACTTCAGTTACTGACAACATTTAGAATTATCCAACATTGATAAATCTGGTTAAAATATAACATTATGATACCAAAGTCAAACTACCTGTACATATATAAACACAGAATCATCAATTTATATTTGACAAATAATCCAAAATGTGAGAGAACATTAAAACATTGGTGGTGTTGCAGTAATTAGAATGTTCATTGCCAGGAGTTCGATTCTGACCAGTTGAAGATTAACTTAGCCTTCCATCTTTCCAAAGTCATTAAAATGATGATCCAGATTGTTGGGGGCAATGTACTGATCTGTAAACCACTCAAAGGTTACTGTAAAGCACCATGAAGCAGTATATAAGTAAGTGCTTTGCTATTGCTATCCCAACCTGCAGGACCTACTGGAACAACATCCTCTTCAAGTTGAAATTATACAGTTTTCCTCTCAGACACATGGGGTTCAAACTTACACTTGGGGGTTAGACTGGGAATTGCTCTATAGCATTCCAACCCATAGTCATCACCTTATTTGCAGTTATAAGAATAAAAATGGATTTTATGATATGCATTTTCAAAAGTTGAATTTCTGTTTGTCTTGATTTTTTTAGTTGGTGTGATATTCAGAATGGAATTATTCCAGCTCCAATTGCCCATCGCTTTAGAAGAAATTTGGAAAAATACAAGACTATGCATTTGGAATTAATTCAATACCAAAGTAACATCAAAGAGGAGCCCACAGCAGAAGAAGCTGTTGAATGTTGGAAAAAATACTATGAACTAATAATGCTGTGTGGCTTGTTGAAAATATGGGAAGATTTACGTTTAAGGTAATTTCATTTGTTGTGATCTAATTTTTTATTTGATTGTCAACATGATTTTATTTTTATTAGTTATTACATGATGGTTTAGTCATAAATTTACTAATTCTTAAATGTTGTTCTTGACATGTTTTTTTCTTCAAAAATAAGTTCCATTGAATTAAGTGTTTATTATTCCCATTTATGCTAATGGAGGATTGATTCAGTGTATTGTAATTTTCATTTATTTAATGAAATTTCCATTAAAATCAGTCAGAAACACATTTAGGCTTTTCTCAGGAAAGCTTGAGATAAACAGGAATGCAACAATATAAGAACTTCTGATTTATTATAGAAATGCTAAGAGTGTCATTATGAAATAATTCCACTGTAAGCTGTGTATCTAATGCTAGTTCTCTTTTTGCTACATCAATGTTAAATTCTAATCATTTGCATCTCTTCTTTGTTTGATAAAGATCACACAATGTCTGCTTGCTTTTGTCCATTTGAGAACTAGTTTGACAAAATAAATTAAAAAGAAACAAAAAAACCCCAAATAGCTCCCATGCTATAAATAAACGTCAGAAAGATGCAACATCCTAACAAACAATGGTATCTGTTAATACACTTTCAAAATACTAGTATTTTCATAAGTAATAAGAGACCATATTTTGATAAGTGCAAATTTATTTTAAATGGAATATATTAAAATATTGTTCCAGGAGTTTTTGCCCTTATTTGCTCAAATTAAGCATTAGAAAATACGAGTCATATAAAATTAAATATATTTAATTCTGCAGATTAAAAAACTATCCTGTTTAATGTTATTCAGTCCTAGTTCAATTTATTTTGTAGAATTTTATTTCCCTGAATTTCACACTGCTTTTTAAGCTGTAAAAATTAAACTCATTTAATATATTAAGCTAATTTAACTTGGAAATTAATAATAGCAGATTCTGTTTTTCATAATTTTTTTAAAAGCAAAGATTTTATACTTAAATGAATTGTGTAAAATTGATTACATATTTTTTTAAAAAACCTCTTGTTAGATGTATCCCCAGTTCAATAATTCATAATTCTGTCAGCTTTCCATTTAAATAATAATAATTTGCCCTTCAGAATATCTTATACAAATAAGGTATTGACTAATAATTTGAAAGGGTTTTAGAATAGTTAAGTGTTTTCAAATATTATTTAAGCCACAGTTTAAATTTTGAGTATTAAAAATACATATTTTATTTCTTCAGAAGAGATATGTCAGGATTTGTGGCTTACTTTTTAATGTGGTCCATTCCTTATTTAAATTATAGGTAAACCCCATCAAATAGCAAAAATCCTAGAAATTTAATTTCTTTACACATATTTGGGATGTGTTTTCTGAAGCAGATTTCTCTGCCTTTCAGTATATCAAAGAATTTCAGATTACAGTCTTTTTTTCCTCAAGTGGGGCATATTTATATTTAAAACATTATCTTATTATATTTATTTAAAAGAGCCAATTAAAGCCTTATTCTGTATTCTACCTGTGCTGTCTAACCCAGGATATGGATGGGTGGGGTCCCACAGGTCTAAAATTAATTGTGATAGAATTCATTGTCAATTTCAGAGCTCATGGACCCCTGGCCCCAAGAATACTGAAGCGTAGAAAAGGGCACAGGCAGGATGGGGAAACTGTAACCTACATTGTTGCAAAAACAGTAACAGCAGAAGTGGTAAGAAATTTTCAAGTGGATGATAGTTATTCGTTAATGCTGCATGCACTAATGTGTGTAAATATGCAAAGAAGTATAATTTGGCATTAAGATGATTCTTTTGGGTCATTGGGAAGACATTTGCTCTGTTTTAATATATTTTTCAGTACCATAATAAAAAGATGATAGTTGCGGACTTGGTGCAGTTATACAAAAATCTGTACAACAGGATTAATGCTATTATATAAATCAGGGGTGTTAAACTCAAAGTTTGACACCCCTGATTTAGATATTTCATGAACCTTAGCAGGAGAGTTCTTGCATGGGAAAACTGTCTTAGTAAAAATTTGCAAGCACTAGTTCAGAATAGTAATTTACATTCTAAAATTGCTAATCAATTAAAATTGTATATGTTTTATAAAAGTCTGTAGAAAATATTTTTATGTTCCATTAAGTTCCATTACATACACTGGGGTTTGTTCCCAGGAACTATTTATATAACTGAAATGTAAGAACTATTGCAACATTATTTGAATTTTGTGTTAAACTTCAACATTTTATACTAAGGTGATTCTAAAAGAGTAAATAGCAATAACAGTAGTACTTATATACTGCTTCATAGAGTTTTACAGCACTCTTAAAGTGGCTTACAGAGTAAGCATATTGGCCCCAACAATCTGGGTCCTCATTTTACCAACCTTGGAAGGATGAATATATATGTGTGTGTGTGTGTGTTTTCATAGATTTTCACGGGTACAGGTATGCAGGTCTAAGTGTGTTCAGGTCTTTTCCCGTGTAAGATTAAGAGTATCTGGGTGATGTTTCGGTGAGGTCCCACTCACCATCCTCAGGCTGGTGCTTTCAGCTTTGTGCCAGTGCAAGCAGTGTGTGATCGGAGCTGCCCTCTCTATAAATACTGGTGGTGGGGGCTGGTGTGCTGGGCTGGTTGCCTGCGCTGCTTGGCTGCGCTGCTGCCTCTTGATTGGTTGATGGAGTTGATGTTGGTATAATGGGCTGTGTGATGGCCTTGTGAGTTTTGTTGTGGAGATATCCTGGGTCTTGTGCTGTAATCTCCTGGGTCATTTGTTTTGTAGTGATCTTTTTTCCATCAGCCTCTCATGTTTTAACAGCTTGGGTAATGGGTTGTGTGATGGGCTTGCAAGTTTTTTTGTTGTGGTATCCTGGGTCCTGTGTTGTAATCTCCTGGGTCGTTTGTGTTTTGATCTCTTTTCCATTAGCCTCCTGTGTTGTAATGGCTTGGGTAATGGGTTGTGTGATGACCTTGTGAGATTTATTGCTGTGGTTTCCTTGGTCTTGTGCTGTGATATCCTGGGTCATTTGAAACTTCTTGAGTTCTTGTGATGTAATTTCCTGAATTTTCTGATGTGATATCCTGAGCTGGTGGCTGTGATGTAGCATTCTGGGTTTTAATCTGGCTTCGAGTTTGGGGTCTGGGTCTGTGTTCTTGGCGTGTGTCAGCTTGTTTGGTTTTGGGGTTGGGGGGTGCGACAGCTGGTGAATTGCCCAGCCCATTGAACAAACCAACAGGAGAATACATGCATGAATTGCAGAACACAAAAACGCAGTCAGAAGAGAAGAAAATACTTCCTCCCTCTTCCAGCAACTTAAAGCCACAGGACATGAAATTAATTTCGAAGGAACCAAATTAATATCCAACACTGAACACTCAAGCAAGAGAATAATCAGGGAAGCCATTGGGATAGAGAAACACCCCCATAACATGAATAGATGGGACGATACCTCCCACCTACCAGACATCTAGAAGCTAGCCCTCACCAACAAACGAGTCCCAGCCACGAAAACCAACACCAGACCCAAAACAACATGGGATACCACCACCAATCCCCCTTATCAGACCCAGGACCAAGCCCATCCTATAAACGAAGGACATCCACTATCCAGAAAACAGACCACGGCTGCTTCGCCAGCTGTCGCACCCCCCGACCCCCAAACCAAACAAGCTGACACACGCCAAGAACACAGACCCAGACCCCAAACTCGAAGCCAGACTAAAACCCACAATGCTACATCACAGCTCAGGACATCACATCAGAAAACTCAGGAAATTACACCACAAGAACTCAAGAAGTTGCAACACAGCAAATGACCCAGGATATCACAGCACAAGACCAAGGATACCACAGCAATAAATCTCACAAGGTCATCACACAACCCCATTACCCAAGCCGTTACTACACAGGAGGCTAATGGAAAAGAGATAAAAACACAAACGACCCAGGAGATTACAGCACAAGATCCAGGATATCTCCAGAACAAAACTCACAAGGCCATCACACAGCCCATTACACCAACATCAACTCCATCAACCAATCAAGAGGCAGCAGCGCAGCCAAGCAGCACAGCCATGCAGCGCAGCACACCAGTCCCCACCCCCAGTATTTATAGAGAGACGGCAGCTCCGATCACACACTGCTTGCACTGATACGAAGCCGAAAGCACCAGCCTGAGGATGGCGAGTGGGACCTCGCCGAAACATTGCCAAGATACGCTTAATCTTACACGGGAAAAGACCCGAACACACTTAGACCTACATACATACATACACACACACACACACACACACACACACATATGCAATGTTATTTTTCTTTTGTTAGTTAAATAATTTGGTTTTAAAAGACTGATGTTTAAAGATTCACTTAATTCCCAATGTTATTTTTTTTTCTCTTTCATATAGGCTAAAGAATTATCCTCTGATACAGTTGTTCAACAGAATGAGAACCTAAACATAGCTTTGGACCGCTGTTACAGTGGTGATAATGTGCTTATTTTCCCTGGAGAATATAAAGCAGCAAACCTGTCCATGTTAACTGAAGATATTATTATTAAAGGTATTAGTATACTTTCTCTTTTTTTGTGTATTTAAAGTTGCCAAATTGAAAGAACATTGTAATTTTCTGTTGAGGTGAAAGAAAATATTGGACAGAACAATTTCCCTTGGTTTGTATGTCAAGCCCGAAATTAAATTTTTCAGACCTTTAAATATGAAAATTTTAAATATGTAAATTTTTCAGAGACTTGTTTAAATATGAAAACTTTTCTCATTTTAATCTGCTACAGCTTCTTAATACATGCATAAAGTAATTGCGTATATGTGTGTGTGTGTATGTGCGTGCACACACATACACACAATAAAATCATTTGAATAACTAAAATTATTGAGGGAACTATTCTGTCATCCCACAAGTTCAACCTCAACTTCCCCAATATCACTACTTTCAGTCTGGCTTAAATTAGTTTAAAGTGTCATGACTATTCCTGCTGTTTATATTTGATCAGCATATGTGCACCTTGGACTGTTAAATGAGGCAAGCAATTGCCTGTTGGATTAATCTGTGCGTGTTCTCATAAGATTGCATTAATTTTTTTAACTGTACCACTTTAGCACTACCATATACTTCATATTTGGTATTTGTGAAATATGGTATTAGAGTACTTAAAAAACTTAGAAACAGTCCTTAATCCTATCTCTGTCTGTCTGGAAATCTCTCATCTATATCATCTATCCATCTATCATCTATTTGATGGTATTAGATTTCTTTGCTGTCCAATCTTGCCTCAAGGCAACCCTAGACGGCTTACTTATAAAAACTGTAAAACCGTAAAACATATATATTTCTGAAAACAATAAAATAGAATTATAATTTTTCTTTCACTGTTAGATGAATTAAAATATTAAGTTGCTTTCTAATATAGTTTTCTGTTTTTCTTCAGGAGTTGGAAAACCAGAGGAAATTGTGATAGTTTCAGAACCTGCTAATGAGAGTTTTGTAGTATCTAGGGCTAAAAATGTCAAATTCATGAATATTACATTGCTTCAGCAAGGGACTGTTGATGGGATTATTGTAGTTGAATCTGGACACACAGTTGTGGAGAATTGTATATTGAAGTGTGAAGGAACTGGTATTTGTGTACTCATCGGGGCTTCATTGACAATTACAAATAGTGAAATTACTGGAGCACAGGTATATTCTCTTTCAGTTCATTCAAGGTACAGCATGTATGCACGAATGTAAAATTTTTATTTAAGTTGAGTAATAAGTACCTGTACATTAGAAGGGAGACAGGGAAAACACAAACATTTAATTTTTGCTGCCATCTACTAATAATGATTTTTGCAGTCCCAATCTGATAGCCCTGAGATTTCAGTTACTTAACCAGCCAATTTTTTTAATGTAATCTTTTGGCTGTTCTCAAATTCTTTCAAAAACATGGAAGAATGAAGTTAATAAGGTGCAAGTCAGGTTCCAAAGGCAATCTTAACTGATACTTCTTTTCTAGATTTGGTTTAATGTAAATGTTGATTGTTGATTGACCTCCAATTTTCTAATGCAATGAGCTAGTCACTTTATCCCTAATTATTAAATATTTTACTCATCACTAGATGGCAGTAAAAATGATATTATACCTATGTGAACTAAGCATTTTTTCCTTTTTTTTTGTATCTTCTGGTTCCTTTTCCTCTAGGCTGCAATATTTTTTTTCTCTTTTTAAAAAGGAAATCATTTATTTACACTATTGCCAATAAATAATTTGAACAATAGGCAGTAAAATTAATTATATGAGTGGTGATTGAATTCATTCTCTGGGCTGAGCCGTTAGAGCCTATAGAAAGGTAGGCCCATCCATTTATTCAACATCTAAGTTTGTACTCTAGTTTGGAGAATGGCTCTGCGGTATTTCTGCAAAAATTCAAATTGTGGAAATTCTTGCTGTCCCTCTACAGTTTTGCCAACATCCCAGCACAGGGAAATTACATTTCATTTTCCATTATATTCTTATCTTTAGAGATCTTGAAAATGATTATTAGAAAGATGTTTAGCAGTTATATTTCTCCCACTCCTGTTGAGAAGAGAGACATAAATTGGTTCTTAATGCTTAGAAACAGTAGATGCTTCAAGGAAACCCTTATTGTAGATTTGCTGTTGACTGTAGTCCCTAAGAATAGGGGATATACAGCAGTTGAAAACATTTTCAGTCTAGATGTTTAAAGATGGGTAGTCCTTGACTTACAAACACTATTGAGACAGAAAATTATGTCATAAATCACTCCAATTGTAAGTCAAGTTGGATCTTATAACAATTTTTACTGCAGTCATTAAATAAATCAATGGTTGTTAAGTGAATCCAGTTTCCCAGTGGCCATGTTTTGCCACTGGGGAATCATAACCACAAGATTCTGCAGCTGATCAAAAATGTGAGCTGGTTTCCAAGTACCAGAACTGTGGTCAGATGACCATGGCGGCATTTAGTATTTTTTGTACAGAAAAGAGTAGGGCAATAATGAAAGTAGTTGTAATCCTAATACACTTGAGAGCAGACATTTGTGAGTAAGTTTGGAGGTTTTATTTGCTTTTTAAGCAAGGTAAAACTCAGTAGGGATTATGTAATTTGTTACCACATAATGATTGGAAATTGCTACTGATTTTCATTACCTGGGAGTTTAAACCTGAGGGGACATTAAAGGTAATAGGAGTTCTTGTATTTTGCATTGTGGTCTGTAAATAATTAATTATGACATAGGATGATTCAAGTATGATTCAGCCAGCTCTCAAAAAGATATTCGTGAACTAAATATATAAGATAAAGAGCACGAGTTATGGACATTTTGTATCTATGATTTATTTAGTTTCTTTTGCTACTGCAAAAGAAATACCTATTTTGACTTCCTTTTGTTTTACTCATGACTATTTTGGGTTTTATTAAAGGACAAGTTTATCCTCATTTTCTTTCTTCTGACTAACCAGATCTCATTTTCCTTTGCAATGAACTACTAGAATTGTTATTCATCAATGCTACATTAAAAAAAATTATATCTAGGGAGCTGGTGTTGAGTTATATCCAGGAAGTGTGGCTATCTTGGAGGATAACAAAATTCACCATTGCAATAACTTCAGAACGAGTGACTCTTCACGGGGTAGTCTTGGTGGAATTAACATAAAGGTAAATCATTGCTGACAGTGGATTGTCACTCATAAACTGATGCTCGCGTAATAGAATCAGCCATTTATTTAAACTTTTAATTTGCTTTTACTAAAGTTCATTTGCATATTTCAATGTTGAGGGTTTTTCATAGTTGCTTTCTGCCTTAGGCACATTGCTAATGTGAAGAACAAATAAGGCAATTTTTTTTTAGACTTGCGTGAGGTAGCTGGTTTAATGTACCTATTTTCTTCCTTCACACTCCCCCTTGTTCACAAAAATCAGAATAGAGTTGGTAGGGACCTTGGAGGTTTTCTAATCCAATCCCACACCAGGCAGGAGCCTATAATATTCTAGACAAATGGCTGCCCAGTTTCTTAATAACCTCCAATGAGGGAACATCCACAACTTCTGAAGGCAAACTGATTAATTATTCTCATTGTCAGAAAATGTGTCCTTAGTTGGATCTCTCCTTGACTAGTTCCTACCTGTTACCTGTCCTGCTCTCAGGTGCTTTGGAGAATAGGTTGATCCCCTATTCTCTGAGACAACCCCTCAAATATTGGAAGACTGCTGTAATGTCACTTCCGAATTCTTATCTTCGTTAGACTACATATCCAGTGCCTGCAACATTCATTGTAGGTTTTGGCCTCCAGCCTCCTAATCATCTTCGTTCTTCTTTGTACTCTTTCTAGAATCTCAATCTTATTTTTTTAAAAAGTTTTTTATTTTTATAACATACAAAATAACAAATAAAACTATCTTTCAGTTATACAGTGTATCGGTATGGTATATATATCATGTGCACAATATCTATAATCCTTTCCTCTTAACTTTACATTTGTATTATATTCTAAACATTCCATATCATATTATCTCATTATACTATTATTTAAATTTTAATTTCATTTCCAGACTATCTTTAAAATCAAAACTCAATTCTTACTAAATTATATTCATAGTATAACTTATTTAAAAATAATCAATTATAATATATCATTACTATTGCAACATACTTCAGTTTCTTACTCTTCTATCTAGCCATTGATAAAATAAATCCCAAATCTTCTAATATTCTTTTTCTTCTTGTTCTCTAATTGCTAATGTTAGTCATTTCATTTCTGCACATTCCATTATTTTCTTAACCACCTCCTCTTCTATTGGAATTTTCTCATTTTTCCATTTTTGAGCAAATACAATTCTAGCCGCAGTTAAAACATTAATCAAATATGTTATTTCTTTACTATAACCTTCAGATAAAATCCCCAATAAATATATGTCTGGTTTTAAATCTCTATGCTGTTTTATCATTATTCCAACCATGTGTGTATTTTATCTTTTAGCTTGTGCACATGTCCACCACATATGGTAATATGATCCAGGTAGCTGATGACAATTCCAACATTTTGCCAATTTGTCCTTGAACATCTTTACTATTCTTGCCAGGGATAAAGGCCACCATTTCCCCCCCAAAGAAATTGTTTCTTTAACTTGTTCTTCTAATTTCACTCCTATTAAATAACCATAATTTTTTTTAATCATCTTCTCTTCAGTACCTGTTAAAATTTTATCTAATTCAGTCAATTCTTTGTAAAACCTATCTATCTTACTATCTTTTCCATATCTGGAATGTATTTGCATATATGAATACCAATTCATCTTTATCCCTTGTTCATCTAGTTCTTGCTTTGTTTTGCATTCATCCTTTTCATTTAAAATTTCAGTATATTTAACATTATTTTCCATTTTAAATACATTTGGATACGCATATGCTTCTATTGTTGATAACCAAACTGGTATTTTCAAATAATGTTGTTCCCTTGTTTGCTTCCATCTCGAATATGTCTCCGAAAGTATCCATTCACTTTACTTTCCTTATACCATAAAAATGCATGCCACCCTGAATCTCAATTTTTTTGTATCATGACCAAAACTGGACACAGTATTCCAAACAGTGTAAGCACTTTTTATACTAACATTTCACCTGACCT